TCAGTCACATGCGTTCTCTCTTGCAGGGCTGCCTCAGTGTGCACATCTGCCCTGCACCTTCTAGCCAGACAGCATGCTGCTCAGTAAGCTTACACTGTGCTCTCTTTATTTCCTAGTGGCCTCTGCTGTGGGTCCATAGTAACGATTCTCCTTTCATGGATGCTGCCCTGTCTTAAGCAGAAGACAGTGTGGTGGAGAATCCTCTGTTAGGTCCCCAGACCACCAGGACCCTTGAGCTCATCCGCTGTTCCCTAGTTCTGGTGTTCATCTCCGTGACATCTCCATCCACAGACGGTTCATTCTGGTCTTATAACCCTCCTCCAGTCATTGGGCCCACCCTTCACTGGAAGTCACAGTGCCTTGAATAGAGAGAGGTATCTATCCATGGCTTATGCTCCCCCTACCCCCCACCTTATCCTAACTCTGCACACAGCAACTACCAAGATCTTGTCTACAGAGGTCAGGAGCTAGGGAGGGCTCTTATATCCTGTAGCATGTGGGCTCGAGAGAACTCATTGTCCTCAAAGGTTTGGATGCCGTTAAAGCTGATTGGTCTTCCGAACCCTGACTCAAGATAGTTATGGGGTGAGGACAGGAGTGGGGGTGGGGGCTTGGGAAAGAGCTGGTTCCTCAGGGCCACATACCAGGCTCTCTTCAGTTTGTGGAGCTCAAGGGTCTTGAATCCTGATTCAAATGTTAAGGGACAGGGGCCCATGCTCATGACACAAAGAAATGGGGCTTGTTCCAGCCCCAGATGACAAAGTCACGTTGCATATGATGGTTACATTCCCACCCCTGATGGCTATGGAAAATGCTCCCTTGCTAATGTAGAATCAAGCCCCGGGCTTGTGCTATAAAAACAAGCCACTCTGCCTAAAGAGCTCACAAGGTCTTACAGTAAAATCGAAAGTTTATAACAAATAGATTCTCTTGCAGTTTGCAGGCTGAGTTCGAAGATGACCCTCATAAAGCCTGTCCCCCGGAGTGCTGTTTTCACATAAAATGTCCCTGGAGTGTGGTTTGCTTTTAACTAGCAGAACTTGGCAAATGAAGAGATTTTTCTCAGAGGTAATTGAGATTCCAAGTTAGCTCATTTTCAGCTAGTACAAGAAGAGACATTCCGGGTCTCAGCAACCCTGACTCTGTCAGATGGAGACAAAAGCCCTTTTAAGGAGAGATGACCACCTCCCTCCCATTAGAGGCTCCTCTTGATGATGGCATCAGTCATGTTGCAGAAGTCTACATGGCAACCAGCAGATAGTCTCTAGGATCTGTAGAGACATCTAGGTCAGGAGGTCAGCCTCCAGTTGACGGACAGCAAAATGTTGGTGGCTCCATCCATACAGGCATGGGGAAACGAAGTCTGCCAACAAGCTCGACAATCACAGAAGTCAAGTCTTTCCATGTCAACCCTCCAGATGACAACGCAGTCCAGCTGTTGTCTTCATTGTGACTTGTGATGTCCCAAGCAAAGAATCATTCTTGGATTTCCGGCCCAAAAAACGAAGAGGCAAATAAATAGCGTGGCAGGCTTTTTTGAAAATCTCATGTTTTATTTAATACCTTGCTTTGGAGGTCCTTCTGAGCATAGCAACAAGGCAATCTAAAGGGAAAAGACTGGTAAATTTGACTTTACCAATGTGATCGGTTTGTGTGACACTATAGAACCCAAATGAAGTTTGAAAACGATATTATCCCTTCTAAAAATGACACACTAGAAAAAGTTAATAAAATATATGGCAGGTGAGCATTAAAAACGCAATGATATGAAGAGGTTTTGGCAGGGGAGAAATGCATGTGGGGAGAGAAGGTGGTCCATGGGAGTGTAGGTTTCCATGGAGACCACAGGCATCAGGTTCTCCTGGACCTGGAGTTACAGGTAACTGAGAACCAAGCACTAGATGTGGGTGCTGGGAACTGAGCTCAGGGACTCTACAAAAGCAGAGTGTGCTCCTAACCACTGGTCACCTCTCTGATCCATAAAGAGCTAGCTCAATCAATATAGTCAAGTATCTCATGGAGAAAAAAGGCAATGGCTCTTCTCAAAGACCAGTTACGAAGGGCCAACCAGCATGCATAACTGCCAAGAAATGCAAGCAAAACATTAAAACCTTAAAACAGAACTTTCTACCTACCAGAGGCATAGAGATGAGCAATATCAACTCCAGCTGCTGGAGCTGAGGCTTTCTATTGGTGAGAGTGTAAACTGACTTCCCTAGCAAAGCACAGTTCAATAATACAGTTTTTATTCCAACAACTTTACGGCTATGAATTTAATCTAATAACTGCACATCTTTCTACACTTGTGTAAGGAAAAACCTGAAAACACTTTAGCTATATATGCATGGTAGAATACAATTAAATAAACCACGGTATAGACTTATAGGTCAGTCACTACTGACAAGGCCCAGGAAATACTGACGGGTGAAAGCACATCACAAAACACACTCGTAGTTTGAATCCTTCTGGGGGAACCTGAACAATGCTCTCAAAAGGTAGGGATATCAAGATCAAGACTTATACCAACATAGCCACCATAACTGAAACACCCTCATAGTCTGAATCCTTTTGGGGGAACCTTCTGGGGGAACCTGAATTATGTTCTCAAAAGGCAGGGATATCAAAGTTTATACCAACATGGCCACTACAACCGAAACACACTCATAGTCTGAATCCTTTTGGGGGAACCTGAATGATGTTCTCAAAAGGTAGGGCTATGAAGGCTTATACCAACATGGCCACCACAACTGAGGTGACCCATTCTCTCTGCACCCAGAGCATGCAATGCTCAATGCTTTAAAAATGGATTTGCTGTGGGCTGCAAAGTTGGTGGGGTTAAGAGTGCTTATTGCTCTTGCAGAGGACCCAAGTACGGTTCCCAAAACCAGTCTACAAATTACCTCAGCAGCTAATTCAAGGGTTAGCAAGTGCCAGGGAAGAAAACGAGGCTTGCATCAAAATATTCAAGTCACAAAGTTGTCTGCATCCGTTTCTCCCTTTAAAATGGGGACCTGAAACCCCTGACCTTTCTACTTCACAGAACCTAGTGAAGATGGAATGAAAGAGGTGCCTGGTGTATAGCTAAGGGTGTCCCCACAAACTTTGCACACACACACAAACCCACAACAGTCCAAAGTGAGTGTGTTTGTTCCATGACTAGGCAATACCTCAGTTCTGATTCCCAATCTGGAAGCCAATTTAAAACCAGATCTAAGACGTTCCCATGGTGGTCATGTGGGAAAGAATCTTCCTCCACCCCTATGTTAGGATCTATATTTTAAAAACTACATTTTGTGTGCATGTATGTCTGTGTATATGTATGGGCGTATACATGCCACAGAACACATGTGGCGTTCCGAGGACAATCTGCAAGAATCAGCTTTCTCCGTCCACTGTGTAGGTCCCCAGGCTTCATCTCAGGTCCCCAGGCTGAGCCATGTCTCTGGCTCCAGATCTAGCCTTAGTGAGTGGGACTCAGGAGCCAGCTCAGTACCATAGTCTACAAGTATCCCTTGTCCTCCGTTAACTGGGAATCCAATTAAGGAGGGGGCAGAGGTCTTATGTTGTAAAATTTCTTTCTTCGTGCCTATGGGAAAACTAAGAAGAACAGCAGAGAAACGCCCACCGCCTGCGCCTGTTGTGTTTGTGCGCAGAGCGACTCCGTCGTAAGTTAGAACAATCAGAGGAAATAACAAAGTCTGTGTGTTTGCTGTTTTTGCAGCTGTAAATGCACTGTTTTTACATTTCTACACTGCACGACAAGCTGATAATTTACTTAACACAGTGATTGAACCAGAAGCTTTTTTTTTTTTTTTTTTTTAAGAGAGGTGAGATTTCTTCCTTTCAGTGGCAATTATGCTAAGTCCCCACGTGGGCAACTACATCCTGGACAGCTATCCAAGAACACAAAGTTAGGGAGTGCTGGAAATATTGGTCCCACGTAACTCGAAGGACAGAGGACTAGCAAGGCCGGCAGCTGGCATTGAATACACGAGTCTGGCTTGCCTCCCTCCGCCTGGCTTTTCCCAGTTGAGTAGAACTAGCCCCTACCCTCCAGGTTGGAGCAGCTTTATGAGCGGTTCAGTCGTGTTTCAGTCTGTTTTCTGTTCTAACAGAACAGCTGAGTATAGTGATTTACAAAGCACAAAGGAGCTGTTAACTTGGGTTCTGGCTCAGGAGCCTGGGAAGCCCAAGGGCATGGCCCGGGCATCTTCACAACTTCTGATGGGGTCTCTTCATGGAAGACGGACTCACCAGTATCCCATGCTCTTGCGAGAACTAAGCCAATCCCAGAAGAAAGGGGGGAAAGGTACTAACACCCCCTAATACTCAATTCGGTTCGTAAAGGTCCCACACCAATCAAATATCACCATGAGACAAATCAGATATAAGTCATAATCACTGGGCAACTCAGCTATGACCTCCACCCACAAACACCCTGCAAGCCAGCAGAGAACACACCAATCATGGTCCTGGAAAGATTGCCTGTCTTCCTCAGGACCACAGGGGTGCACAGTTCCAGGGCCACATTGTGTTCCACCTTGAGGTTGTACTATGTAACCACATGTCCTTCCCCTCCCCCTGTGCTTTGGATTCTGTAGGTCTAGCGAGGGAGGGAAGGAGAAGGAAGAGAGAAGCCACAGCCTTGGAGCTGAGCTGTGGTTAGAGAAGAAGCTGAAGAATACCAACTGGGTTTTAAAAGTCAAACTGAATACACTCTACGTGTATATCCACTACATGGACAGTATGCCAGCCCTGCCTATAGCCAATGTTCATGGGCCACGACATGGTCTCAGTCACGGTTACTGAGGTGTAGCTAAGGTGTGTCAATCACCATGATCCCCCCCTCTCCCAACACTCATGCAGATTCTGGTCGTGAACTGGATGGATGCTGCTTTAACCCACTGTTTCTATATTACTGCCAAACCCAAATTTCTCAAGGGAGGCAGAGAACAATTTCGTAGATGGTGAGACAAAACCAAAACCAAACCAAGGAAAGAATGGGCAAAATTACAGAATGTGTTTTACTGGAAAGTAGGCATTACTTTTGATCTCACAAAAACAACTGGAATTGTATCAAAGCCAGGCTGCCTAACAGTCATGCAGGGAACCCGAGAGGGTGGCCACGTTACTGTATTTTCTAATTAGTTCATCAGTAAACTGTAGGGAAGGGCTAATTCTAAAACACTTGAAACATTTGTTCATGACACTGTTCTTTATCCAACAACCTCCTTCACAAAACCAAATTCCAGCCCAGACTTAAGCCCATCTCATTACCTACTGTGAAAGAATGAACCCTGAACTAATTAGCAGGGGTACCTAAAGTAAGATCCAGCGACTCCACATCTCAGGGTCTATGGCCTGGGCACAGCCAGTGTCTACAGGAGCTGACTCTCAGAGCTGTGGCCTGTGGTCAGTATTACACTGGGCATGAGTCTCAAGTTCATGGACACACACTGATCCTGAAAGCATGAAGCACATAAAACAGTTCCCAAGTTTTCTCCTTCTGGAAAATTCCATAGAGATAGGGTTGGTGCCATCTTGAATTCAAGGACGAGGCCATGCTGGGATGGAGAAGGTTTCAGGTTCACACAAGGGCTCTGGATGGAAGTCACACAGCCCAGGCACCTGAAAAGCTGTAGAAACAGCTATCCATCATAAGGCAGTATTTCCAGGCGGTGCGCACCAGCCATCTAGACATAGAGGAGGAAGAGAAGGCATAAACATTGCACACTCTACTGTTTCTTCACTGCGTGCCCCTCCAGTACAGCTCACATGGATGTCTGCCAGCAGGGTCCCAGCGATGAAGCTGCATAGATCAGCCTGCCTGCTGGAGTAACCGGGCTGTCATCACTATCCCTACTTTTCCCCTGGTCAGGGCATCCTCTTCCTGGGCGCCAATTTGTTGGAGAAGAGGCTGCTTGTTGGTTACCAGCAGTTTAGCCCCCAAATAACCACACAGATATTGTATCAATTAAATCACTGCTTGGCCCATTAGCTCTAGCTTCTTATTGGCTAACTCTTACATATTAATTTAACCCATTTCTATTAATCTGTGTATTGCCACGTGGCTGTGGCTTACTGGCTAAAGTTCCAGCATCTGTCTCCTGCAGGGATACATGGCTTCTCCTTGACTACGCCCTCTTTCTCCCAGCATTCAGTTTAGTTTTCCCTGTCTACTCCTATTCTGCTCTGTGCAGGCCCAAGACAGTTACTTTATTAACCAGTGGTATTCACAGCATGCAGAGGGGAATCCCACATCACCTTCCTTCTCCCAGCTTCGAGGTTAGTCATGCCGGCTTACCTGCTGCCTGTGCTCTGACCACCCTCATGCCCAGCTGTCCGGCATGACTCCCACCCCAGCCTCCCCTCCGTTCCACTCATTCTTCAAAAGTGACGGTCTCACATACCACACCGCTGAGAAGGAGAGGAATGCAAGAACGGTCACAAAAGCCACGGAGCCCAGTCCGACGCCCACCATCTGCTGTGGTGTGAGGGATGAGTCTGTGGGAAGAAAGGGTAAGATGAGCCCGGAGCACGTCCCACCACGGTCTCCCCAGGAGCTCACCATCCAACTGTGAGCACTCTCCTTTAACCCGGAGCTGGGCTCCATTTAACAAAGAATCCCAAGAATGCCTCACAGTGCCTCTGCGACCCCAACACAGGTCCTGCAGAGGTCAGACCTCAGGAAACCACAGTTTCAAAGTATTTCTAAAAAGGAAGCATAAAACCAGATCATAGTAAAGCCTCAAGGCTTGTGGACACACCAAAGCTACATGATACATGCTGTGTGCAAAGCTCCTCTCGGGCCAGTTACACTTGATAGCTTTTTTACGAGCCATCTCCTTCCACATGGAAGATGTTACTCTGACATCCTCTGAACTTGGGCTTCGGTGTCAGCCAGCACCAGCGATCACAAACATGTTTTGTTGAGCAACAGTGCCTCCATTTCCCCATATTATTAGCAGGACAGTACCTCTCTGCTCTGCTCAGCAGGCTCCTCTAAGAATTTTTTAAAAGTCCATGTAAAAGTGCTTAGAACACATGTACTATTTGGGGAACATCACATGACAACTCCAGGGAGATCCCTGATTACAAACGGAAAAACACTCACATTAGTGGTGCACATTTGGGCCAAGAGACTTAATGCAGAGCCTCGTGACTTCAGCAAAGGCCCTGTTTCTATTAGGAAACAGTTAGCAGCCGCTGTGTGACACGCACAGTTGTGAGCACCTCACTGGGGTTAACTAGGTCTCCTGTGGTAGTTAATCCTAAATGTCAGTTGGATTGGGTTGAGAGACACTTGGGAGCTTAGGAAACTACACTCCTGGGTGTGTCTGTGAGACAGGGATCTTGGAGAGGGAAGACCTACCCTGGGCATCACCACCCAATCATCTGAGGCCTGGATGAACAGACACAGGAGAAGGGGGCTGGCTGGCGGGGGCTTGCCTTCCCTCTCTTTGCTTTCCACAAGATGAGCAGCCTCCTCCAGCACATACTGCGCTAGTTCATTCAAGTCAGAGCAACGGAGCTAGCCGACCTTAGACAGACACCCCTGGAACCGTGAGCCCCAATACACCTTTCACTCATGAAAGTTGTTTGTTCAGTTACTGTGTTATCCTGATGAAAAAATGAACTCATCCAGCTCCTAATAAATTCTTACACTGAGGATCATTGTTAGTCCCTCTTTACAGATGAGGGGCTGGGGCACAGGGTAATTACACACAGCTCAGATGTCTAGGACCAGCTTAAGGGCAATTTGGTCCCAGTGGAAACTCTGTGGGGTCCCTGGCTCCCACAGGTACAGCCATAGACCACACTACTTTTAACAGTCAAGCGAAACTCTTGACTATCCCAGGAAGTGTTGTTGCAAGACTTTCTAGAAAACACGGTATTCCAGCACTTGGGAAGCTGAGGCAGGAGTCTCATGAGTTTGAGAGGCCAACCTGGGTTGCGTAGTTAGACCATATCTTAAAATGACAACGACAACAAAAAAAAAAAAAAAGAAAGAAAGAAAAAGAATTATACTTTGTGTATTCAGACCCAGAGGGTCTGGACACTTTACAAAGCTAAACTGTCAAATAGAAAGAGGAGCAGTGAGGAAATTGGAAGTTATTTGTATCTTAAATATAAGAAGATTTGATCACAGGACATAAAGACAGTAGAATGTTATCACAGGGAAGAATATGCTAGAACAAAACCAAGTGTGTAGGAACAAAGCCAGCTCCCCGTCAAGCCATTTCACAGCTTGAACACTAGAATGATGGTGTCCAAGTCTCTGTCTCAACACTATCCCTTTCTCCCAGTGGAACTTCAAACCAGTGCATCAGCGGTGTGTGTTACAGTTTCCTTACCGAGGAGTGCCCTAAGCACATGGAAACTGTAACCACAACACCCAGCTTCAGGGTGACTGTGAGAAATAATGACATGAAACAGCCAGTCACCCAGCAAACAATCAACAAGTGTCAGTTACTGTTAGCCATTGTTCCCATTGTTGTGTAACTGTTTCAAATGAGTGAAACAATAAATTACCTATAACTGGTAAAGAGAAAAGAATGCCTAATCAGAAGAAAGTGTCTGATTACTAAAGCTTATTTCATATACCAACTTAAAACTCAGGTAAAGACTTAAATTGAAATATAAAAGAACGGAAAAATGTTGGTGAACGTTTATATAACATTAAAGTGGGTGAGAATTGTCTGGTTACATTTATCAAATCTGGAGCCCTCTAGACTTAACCGCATTCATAAAGCATGTGTTTTATATACACAAAATTACCATTTGTGAGGTTAAAAAGCTCCATTTGCACAATTAGTGAGGTTTGGGGTTTTTAATAGAAAATGCTGCCTTTAATCCCAGGGCTTGAGAGGCAGAGGCAGGCAGATCTCTGAGTTCAAACCCAAGCTGCTCTACAGAGCAAGTTCCAGGACAGTCAGGGCTACACAGAGAAACCCTGCCTCAAAATAGAACAAAAATAAACAAACAAAAAGTAAGAAAGACACACACACACACAATTCAGCGTTGGAGACGGGGTGGGGGGTGAGGAGAGACGGGTATTTTCACTGAGAGCTTACACAGCTAACCCTCCTCTCCAGTTTTCGTTATCAGTGTTTTCCTTATATTTTCCCCCATATACTTCCCCCACATTTTAATCTTTGCTAAATGAAAACACTGAACCGAAGGACTGTGGGCTGGAGTCCACGCTGTGTGAGTCCTGGATTTCTATTCATTCATTAGGAGTTACTAGTTGGGTGATGTCAGCTTTGCATCATCAAATGGCCCACTTCTAGGCCCGTCTACAACCCTCCTATCCCCTCTGTGTCCACAGGGGCGTTGTTAATTGTTATCAGAAGTCAGAATACACCCTTGTCTGCCCGACTTCCTTGGCCGCTGAATGAGTCCGCGGAAGGAGGGACACCTAAGTGACCCTAATGCTCTGAGCTGACTCACTAGAAATATTGTCACTGCTGCTATCAGAGAGAGCCAAGCTATCCCGTGACGAACTGGCCTGCCCTTCACTTTACGCTATCTTCAGGAACACTTCGGGAACAAAGGAGGTGGCGCCTCCTTTGTACAAAGTCCTCGTCCACTCCCCAGTCCCAGCCTTCTCCTCCAGATCTCACAAAGGTCATCTGCAGTTGTTTATCTGACTATGTGGAAACTGTGTGGACCTGCTCTGATGCGCTTCATAGAAGTGAAGGGGCATCACCCACTCACAATCCAAAATGACAGAGCAAAGTCGGAGCCCGGGAATCCAGCTTCCCCCAGACCATCCACCCATATCATCCTCCTCAGAAGTGGACCCACTTAATCCTTGCTATAGACACTATTATTAAAGGGTGACCTGTGGGGCTCATGAGGTGGATGACTAAGAGGTTAAGAACACTGGCGGCTCCTCCAGAGAACTGGAACTCAGCTCCCAGTGCCCTTGTTGGGCAGCAGCTCACAGCCCCCTACACCTCCAGCTCCGAGGATCTGACACTCTCTTCTTGCCTCTGAGGGTGCTGCACTCATATGGCACACACTCACACAGACACAGGCACAAGCATAAACGAAAAGAAACAAGGAGTGGCCTTGATTTATTTGCACAGCATCATTTGGGCTCCGGCTCCCAGCATGATGTCCAATTCTTGGTTACAGGGCTTTGGGCTCACTTTGCATACAGACTCTGAGTCTAAGCACACTCGTGTCTGTGTGTGTGTGTGTGTGTGTGTGTGTGTGTGTGTAGCCTCCAAGAATGCCTTACTAATAAAATTTACAAGTGGCCAATTTGGATTATAGTTTTTTATAGTCTTGCCATCTCTGGCTCCACTCCCTTCCACAGTCTCATGCTCTGGGACCTTTGATTTTCCTTTCCTTCTGAATCATCTGTAGAATGTTCTCTTGGAAACTCGGCTGAGTGACTCATGCGCCGTGTTAGTCATTCTTAGAGAAAGTAAATACCTTTGAACCAGAACCCTCTTCTCCACATACTCTGCCCTCGGACTAAACAGTGAACCAGCCTCTCTTTAATCTGTCCCTGATAGGTCACAGGTGCTGAAGAGGAAGTTAGACCCTGGGACAACCTTGATGACTTCCTCCTGGTGTGGACGCGTTGTTTGCAGAACTGTGCTCAGGTGTGATCACTTCCCGAAGGCAACAGTTGCCATCAAACGCTACAAATAAACTAGCACCCTGACTCAGGCTGGCTTGGGACAGACATATCCAGAGAGCAGCTGCTGCATCAGTTTGAGCACAGAAGGGCAAGAGTAATGACAAAGTGTGTTTAATTTCTATTTGTTGTTTTCGGGACTTCTTATTTAAGTTCCCTGCAAGGGGGCGGGGGCTGGAAAAGGGGAGCAAAGCAGGAAATAAACTCAGAGGTAATTAATGTTTGATAAAGCAACAACAATACCGGATCCGTTTTATTGTAACACACTGCCGGAAGTTTAGATAGCTCTAAGTCCACTGATTGGCTCGCAGCTCTGTGGTTCCAGGTTCAGATCCACTGTGACAGGTTCTCTGCTCAGCCCCTTCTCAGGGCTGGACTCGGGGTGCTAAAGGGCCCTCCTTTCCTTCTGGAGGGAAGCTCTGCAGAGGAGTGCATGCCCTAGTTCACCTCGCTGTTGGCCAAATGTGTGTGCGCGTGTGTGTGTGTGTGTGTGTGTGTGTGTGTGTGTGTGTGTGTGTGAATATAGAGAGAGAGAGAGCCCAGTATCCCTAGGGTACTGATTCCAGAAAACCTTCCCCTAAGATACCAAAATTTTGTAATATTAAAGTCTCACAAGAACTGTGTTTGCATATGACCTATCTACAATCTCTTTCGTACTTTTCATTTGTCTCTGGATTACTTAGAATCGTGCAAACAACGTAAATGCTCTGCCGACGGCTGATCTGCTGTACCATTTTCAGATAATGACAAGGGAAAGGCCCACCTCCGCGATCTCCATCTGCAATTGATGGAATCCCCAGATGCAGAGCCCTGGAGTCAAGCCCTGGCTGACTCTGGGTACCTGCACATCCGCCTTAAGCTTGTAGCTTGCAGTTTTTCTCTGTTTATTTAATTTGACAAGAATTAAATCTGCGCTCCATAGAACGGATGGCTGCCTACCTGCTGGATCCAATGCGCTCTAAATGAGCACCTAATGTACGCCAGGCAAGGATCCAGTTTTCTGTTTTCAATGTTCTCTCCAAGTGCCTGAAACCTCATAGAAAAAGACAACTGCCAGCTGCTCTGCAGTGTGGGAGAAGAATTAAGGAAAAAGAGAGAGGAAGGTGTGGATCCTAAGGAGCTCTGAAGAGCTTCTGGCAGAGGGTGTTTGGTTTTCATCCTGAGCAAGTGAACAGCAGTCAGCAGCGAGTCACAGGTAGCTGACAGCGCATTTGGGTGGGAGTAATCGAGTCGCTGTGTGAGCCAAGGCCTCAAAGAGAAAGGCAGAGACTAGCTAGGATGCCCATCGGAATGGAGAAGGAGGAGAGAAGCGATCATCACAAGGTGTGCTGGTGTCAAACCGAGGCCTCAAGCAATGGGAAAGCCCAGAAGAGGCTACCAAAGGCAATGCTAGCATGAGCAGAGCAGTTCTCACGTGAGTCCTGCGGCAGCAGGCAGGCTGGGAGGAAGAGGGGAAACCTGAGCTCCTGTAATGGGAGATGGACAAGGAGGCTTTGCCATCTGTCTGTGAGGCAGGGTAGAGGCCCGAGCTCTGCATGACCAGAAATGAAAGCCAGTGCAGCGTGCAGGCTGAAAGAGAACTGGAGAGTCACCAGTGACTTGGGTTTCACTCCTGCGTCTGCAGAATGCCCTCTGAATACAGCTTGCCATCATCTGCGTGACTCAGGAAATCATAGGCTCACAGTACTTTGTGGCTGGAAGGAATCTCAGCCCAGGCAGAAGCAACTGAGGACCAGCCAAGTTAAATACCATTTCAAAGACACTGTCTGATTGGGAACTTGACTGAGGCAAGGACGCCCAGGCCTTGGCATTTGACATCAAATACAGTTCCCTGGCTCTAAAGCTTTCTTGCTGGTGGCACTGTGCAAAATATAAATACAAAACTCAGCACTGGCCAGAGCCAGAATAGGGTCAAGGCTGTGTGTGTGAAGGAGCTGGAATGACTTGGGGACAAAGCTGGATCACACTTCTCTCCAAATTACCTTCTGAAGTGGGAGTGTCCTAGTTAGAGTTATTATTGCTGCGATGGAACACTGTGACCAAAAAGCAAGCTGGGGAGGAAAGGGTTTATTTGGCTTACACTTCCACATTCACATTTTAGTCCATTATTGAAGAAGGCCAGGACAGAAACTCAAACAGAGCAGGGACCTGGCAGCAGGAGCTGATGCAGTGGCCGTGGAGGAAAGCTGCTTACTGGCTTGCTCCCCATGGCTTGCTCAACCTGCTTTCTTTTTTTTTTTTTTTAAGGTTTCTTTATTTATTATGTATACAACATTCTGCCTCGATGTATGCCCACATGGCCAGAGGAGGGCGCCAGATCTCAGTACAGATGGTTGTGGGCCACCATGTGGTTGCTGGGAATTGAACTCAGGACCTTTGGAAGAGCAGCCAGTGCTCTTAACCTCTGAGCCATCTCTCCAGCCCCCTCAACCTGCTTTCTTATAAAGCCCAGGACCACGAGGAATGGCACCACCCATAATGGGCTGGGCCCTCCCAGATCAGTCACTAACTGAGGCTCCCTCCTCTCCAGTGACTGTAGCTTGAGTCAAGTTAACAGAAAACTAGCCAGCATAGGTCTCCACTTTTTATTTATCTTTTTATTTATTTATCATCATTATTGTCATCATCGTTTGGGTTTTTGAGACAGGGCCTCGCTATGTTTGTAGCCTTGGCTGTCCTGGAACTCACTATGTCGACTGGGCTGATCTCGAACTCAGAGATGCGCCTGCCTCTTCTCCTGAGTGTTGGGATTAAAGGTTCTCAGTACTGATTCTCGAGGATGCAGAGGGAAGGACGTTTGCAAAAGCCACTCAGATATTCTCAAAATCCTTCCCAGTTACCACGGAAGAACCACAGCCTCCTCTCTGGTTGTTTTGTCTGCCTGGTTTGAATCTTTCCCAATCAGATCAAACAGTTACTGGATAGAGCGGATTCTAGAAGCTGTCGTTTGAAAGTCTGCATGTCTTAATTCGCATCTCTTTTACTTAGAAGAGCTCTATTCTGCCCCTGGAGCTTTGGGGAGGGGACAGGCTGAGAGTGTTTCGGATGTTAGAATGTGTGATTGTTTCCTGTACCCTTCATTAAACCACTTCAGAAAAGCAAGCCCAGCCAAGCCGCACACACCTCTGGTTAAGACGGCTAATCTACAACACAAAAAGGCTGTCAGATAATTCACCTGGCCCAGACCCAAAATCAACTTCTCTACCCTTGTTGAAAAAAGTTTTGAGCGGAGATATAAAGAAGGAAAGTCAGATCAAGGGAAAGGCAGACAGACAGAAGCCTCTTTCCCTCCGCCCCTCTTCCACGCGTCCTTCTAAGGCCTCTCCTGACGGGAACAGAGCGTCCATTGTGAAGTTCATCCCTGGCAATCCCCAAAGCAGTTGTGCCTGGCTGCCTCATCACTCCAGCCCACTGTGGCCCGTGGCTCTGCTCAGAAGCACGGGTGGAGTGGAAGGAGTTAAAGCGACAGTGTGGCCCAAGGCAGAGGGCAACATTCCTCAGCCTGTTGCCAGGAAAAGGCCCATACTCAAAGGTTATAAATTTAACAAGATTTCTGGGATTAGCTACAACTAATGGAATTCCCGGGAATCAATTCCACTGGCTGGCTGCCTATTGGTTTTAAGAAATGTCCTGCCAGGGAAGCCTAACAAACAACCATCTATGATTACTCAATCCCGGGGAGGGGCAGTTTCCCAACCCCTTCGATAACTCTGTCCGTGGAAAGGGGAAGGTTTTAAACGGCCTAGTGCCCATCAGCAAGAGCCGGCTCTGGAGGAAGGAGGACTGTCCTGTCTGGAAACCCGGGTGTGCCCCATGCGGAGGCTTTACCTACCCAGGAGGTGGCCTCTGTCAAAGGCACTGCTGTCTGCCATTTGATGTCACATACTAAAGTTTGAGAATGATTACGTGTTCCATGTATTGCAGTTGCACATCTGGATCTGATCAAGAAGAACGCACAGCTCTCAGATTCCTGGCCTTGGAGCTGGATGCAGCAACCAACCTTTGAACTATGTCCTTTTCCTACATTCCTTTTGGGTTGCGTTTTTGTTTTTCTATATGTAGGATAGTTCCATTTTGTTAATAAATTATTCTTAATCTATTATAATTATGCATCATTTAACAGTGGAGACAATTCTGAGAAACGTGTCAGTGGGTCATTCTTCATTACAAAAACATCACAGAACGTTCTTCAGCAAAATAACATGACTGGCTACGTCTCTAGCTGACACAAAGTACTGTTCCCTTTTAGGCTGGGTCTTGTTATGGATCCCATGCTGACCTTGAACTCATCCTCCTACGTTTGCCCCCTCAATGCTGGGATACAGGCATATGGGATCCATGCCAAGCTTTAGGGGATGCAATCTTACGTGACTTGCCCTGTATCTGTGATGCACCACGTGACTGAACTGTCATTACTGGTATGTGACTGAGGCTGTGTATGTGTGTATACATGGTGTATATGTGTGCACATGGTATACAGCCAAATAGCAGGTCTCGGGCTTCTGCAGCTCTTATTTTGCTTGGTAACCAAGCTCTCCAGTGCCCTTAAACTTGAGAAGAATCTTCCCCCTTCTCATTGCCACTCTGGTTGAACAACTGCTTACACTGCTCTGCCCCAAACAAGCCAAAAACACAAAACCAGGGCAAACTGATCCCTATCTCAAATCAGGGATGACACAGCCAATGGAAAGTCACTTACGCTAGGGGGAAAGGGCTCCTCTAAACCGTAAAACCTTGTCCCCACTGAAGTTCCTCATCTGGAGGATCTTGGGAGTCCTTCTCTCCAACCACATGGCTACAGTAGGAAAATAGAGGCCCACTGACACAGCAGAGACAAGAGGCTGATAGCAAAGGTGGTCCCCACTCATGGTATGGAGCCCAATGTCTTGAAGACTGATGACATCATTTTTCCCCCAATACAGGGTTTCTCTGTAGTTTTGGAGCCTGTCCTGGAACTAGCTCTTGTAGACCAGGCTGGCCCCAAACTCACAGAGATCTGCCTGCCTCTGCCCCCTGAGTGCTAGGATTAAAGGTGTGCACCACCACCGCCCGGTTTAGCTTTTTGTATAATCCCACGAGTTCCCACCTCTTCGGTTAAGGCTTTGCATTTAAATATGTCATATACACCCTATGGACATGAGAATTTCTGCATTTTTCTGAAGGTCCCTTAACTTGCTGTCACATAGGACAATTTAAAAGGAGCCCTCAATATAAAACCGGTACTGCAGCTTGAAGATGGGAGAAGGACAGAGTGCATAGAAAGAACAGGGTTTTTACCTTTCACCTCGGCCCAGATGGCACAGGAGTATCTTCTCACCTGGGGGGAAGCAGAAGTCCACCTAAGTAGGAGGCACACAGCGTCATCTTAAACAATGTAACACCGACTCTGACACCCGCAGAGTCTCAGCCTTTTCATACTCTAATGCCAACTAGAAAATCTTTTGAGTCCTATCTAGCTTTTATAAGTGTGTGCGTTTATTTTATGTTGCTGGGTAATAGACCCAAGGCCTCACACATGCTAGGCAAGGCTTTGTCGCTGAGCTACAATCCCAGCTCCGCCTCTTACATCTTATAATTCAGCCATGGATCATCAGTATTTAAGGGGCTCGCATGGATAACGGGTATAGGATTGGCTCTAGACGTCACTTCTGGGGGTTTCCGAGAGGTCCCAGAAAGCTCACACCATGAGGAGACAACAGAACGTCAGGAACATCATTTCTGCTGCCAGCTCGGAGCAACTGGCATGGGCTGCTTGAGGAACTGTGCTGAAATTCTGAGACCACACCTAGGTTCAACAAGAAGCAGCAATGTGTGTGACGGGTGAGCAATGAGAAGCTCTGGTAGACGGTAACATTTCGTCTGTCTGGGTGAGGCTTAGCAGCTTCGCTCACCCCAAATGCATCCAAAAACCAGGAAAAAAGCAGCAAGAAACGAGCACCTCATCTTCTGGTTATTATTATCACATACATACCTGGTGATCAGGACGTCTAGGACTCTTGTGTATGACTAACGGTTCAGTGCAGTCTCCCCTGGGGGAAGAAGTTATAGAACAACCTTCCCAACCTTATTATGAGACTCTCTTTCACGTGACACACTTGGGCATTCTGGCTATGTTCTTTAGTTTTGTTTTGTTTGCTTGTTTTTCAAGATAGGGTTTCTCTGTCTGGAACTCCATTTGTAGACTATGCTGGCCTCAAACCTACAAAGATCTACCTGCCTCTGTCTCCTGAGTGATGAGATTAAAGGCCAATGCCACCATGCCAGGATGGTTTTCATGATCTTAAAAGGGTTTTTTTTTTGTTTACTTTTTAATATATTTTAACTGAAATTTTCTGAAAAGCTTTAAATGGCCACAGGTTTCGAATTTAATTAAATTTTGTCTTCAGGCTAAGTTTTGAGATTAGGAATGAAGAAATATGTATGTCAAGACAAGAAGCAAAGGGCACCCCGATAGTAAGGTCATTAAGGAACTGAAAACATTGCAGCAGGGGCCAGGTAAAGCAGGAAGGTCATTGAGCTGATGTGCCAGGAGCAGATGCTCGTTTTACAGAACTCACCCTGGCAGCAGATCGAGCAAGGAGATGGGTAAAGCAAGAGGCAAGAATCTGAACTAGTGATGGACAGAGAAAAGATGACAAACTACAGACACTGCTGGCGAAGGAAAGAGCAAAGAAAGAACAACTTTAAAATGGCATTCAGGTGATAGAACTGACCCGAGATGACTGGACAGACAAGAAGGCATGAAGGAGGGAGGAGACGAGAATTATTCTTAGCACCTTCCCTTAGCTACAGGGCATAATGGGGCATGGATCAGGACAGACATATGGAAGAAAAAAATGGAGCTGTTGGTAGATATACTTTCAAAGCATACTGTGAAGACAGTGTGGGTCTAGCATAAAGACAGACGTATAAGTCAGCGAAGCAGACGCTAGCGTCCAGCAACGAAGCCTTGCATGTATGTCAGATGCTTTTGAAAGAAGCACTTACAATGATTGGTGTGGTCAACTCAATGCAATCTAGAATCACCTAGAAAGAAAATCTCAGTGAGGGACCGTCTAGATCACGCTGGTCTGTAAGACTGTTTTGATCATTTTAATCAACGGGAAGACCCAGCCTACCATGGGTGGCACCACTCCCTATGTTTGGCTCCTGAACTTCGTCATAGTGAACAAAGTCTGCTGAGTGATACATATGCATGCCTTCTCTTTCTGCTCGTGACCATGACTAGCTGCTTCAGGTTCCTGCCTCGACTTCCCCAAAATAACGTGCTGCTACCTGGAATTGTAAGCTGAAAAAAACCCTTCCCCCTTAAAGTTGCTGTCTGTCAGGGCATTGTATCATCACAACAACTGGGCCAGGAACGAGAACAAACACCGAGAATCCAATGGGGGCTGGTCTTTCAACAAGTCGTGTTGATGTGTAAAAACAACAGCAACCCCCGCAACCCAAAAACTGGGTTAGATTTGTATCTAATGCCAAATGTTAAAATTAACTCAAAATGAATCAAATGCCCAAAAGTAAGACTTAAAACTACAAAACTCCTAGAAGCCAACGCAAATAAGAAGTTTCATGTCAGTGGCTTCTTGTGACTCTGGTAACACAAGCAGCAAAATTTAAAACTTTTGTGAATCAAAGAACATTATTAATAGCAAAAAACAGAACGAAAGAAAATATTTTCCATTTAATCTCATAAGAGATTAATATCCAAATTATATGAGAACTCCAAACACCAAACAACAACAACAAAAAAAAAATCAAACAACTCAATTTAAAAATTAGTCAAGTATGATCGGCAGTGGTGGTGCACGCCTTTAATCCCAGCACTCAGGAGGCAGAGGCAGGTGGATCTCTGTGAGTTCAAGACCAGCCTGGTCTACAGAGTGAGTTCCAGGACAGCTAGGGCTACACAGAGAAACCCTGTGAAGAAAGTGTTTGAATAGACACGTGATCTGAAGGAGAGGCAACCACCAAGTACTTGAGAAGATACTGACATCCTTAATCTTTAAGGAAAAGCAAAACAAGACCAGAGCTAGGCACTGCCTTGCACCCATGAGGGTGCCTGTCACATCAGCATTGTGAGGTAAGAGTATCTTCGGCTTTAGCTTCCCAGTTCCTAATCTCTGTTGTCACAAACTAGTCCTTGGCCTCTCTGCTACAAAGTCTTAAAAAGTGAGTCTGGGTTTGCTCTCAGCATGCCAGAGGCAGGCACATCAGACTCCTGTCCTAGGCGGAATTCAATAGTGCCTGCTTTAAATATGAAGAGCCTTGCGATTGAGAGGGCTACATACTTTTGCTTCAAACCTATCAGTCAAGAGATGCTTTCTTAGTATTTACGTAATTTTCCTAGTTTCCCACCCACAGGATTTTGCACCAAGTTTAGAATTCTCCCAGCTCATTACATTTGCTAATTAGTGAACGACACACAGCTGGAAGGGACGAGGCTTTCTGAAGGGGGCGGGGTGGGGAGAATGGGGCCTGTGAAAAACAAGACAGTGCTGCCTTCTTTTGGGGTCCGCCACTCCCTCCTGCTTCCCTGGAAAATGAGGGGAGGCGGCCACCCGGGAGGGCATAAAGGAGGCAGCTGATCTAAATACTCCTTTTCAGCTCGGACTCCAGCCGTGTTGCCAAATCCCATACTCATGAAGAAGCACTCAGCACTCAAAGAAGATCAGTCCCAATGCAGATGCAGTAAGCCAGACGTGTGGGCTGTCACCTAGCGTGTCTCACCTGCCCACCCCTTAGAGAGACAGCACTCATGAGGGGAGAGGCACAGCGTGTTTCTGTGGCTATTCCAGTGGCGTCCATCGCAGATACGGTGTGTGTGTGTGTGTGTGTGTGTGTGTGTGTGTGTGTGTGTGTGTGTTATTCAAACCATTTAAATCTCACGGGAAAGAGAAAATATAGAGGTCACATCATTTTAAAAACTGTACCTTATTCCATTCACTTGTGATCCGTACTAGGATGCAGTAATCGTGTCCTGGTTTCAAAGGGGCATTGTAATATTCCCCGTAATACAGCCTGTCTCCGACAGGTATCTCCAATGCGTTGTCTGGAACATCGCTGGCCAGTATTTCCGCAGCCACGTAGCCATCAGCAAGAGAGGTGTTGCCAAAAAATGAAGTCATGCCTTCAGATCCACAAGAAAACGTGCTTTCCAAGGACAGGGGAAGGACCAGCAACTGGTACGAGCTAAGAGAGGGGTGGGGAAAGCAGAGACATTGCCCAGGGCCTGGTTAAGAAGGAAGATTTTATTCATCCTCAGGCCCTTAACCAGAGTGTGTTTTATAAAGCCCACCACGCGCTCCCGTTTGGAGGACTGTGTACTTGGGTTTCTTGAACTCATACTACACAATCAGCACTTTTGAGACACTAGAAACCCTAGAGTGGACAAGAGAAACAGATGGTTTACACGGGATTTAGTGTCTGGCAGTTCCAACAGGCACCGACCTCCAAATTTACGTATAGCCAGATGAAAAGCTAAGTCCCAGCTTCCCCAGCTGGGAGAAACTGGTGCGTGTACCCGCGGCCTTGTGTGTGTCATGTGGCGGTGCTTCACGTGGGCAAGCAAAGCCAGGCAGCAGGAAGGGTTTAGCAGTCACATGAAGGCCAGGCACCTACAACAGTGCATGTGCTACGTCTGAAAACCAGCTCCAGACAGTCATGCGGCGACTTAAAACAGAACTCATGTGATTTACATTCCCCGCAGCTCAGAGTCTGACGCCAAGGCTCACGCCAACCCGATGAGCGGTCAGGGGTGAGGAGTCACCCTGAGTTAATCTGAGCTGACAGGACCCTGGGAAAGTAAAAAGACACACGGATCTGGTGGAAACATCCCCAAAATGAGGGCCTGGAAACACACTAACAATCAGGTGTCGGATTTATCCACCAAAGGGAAAAACCAGCCAATGAGAAGTGTCGGAATGGAAGGCACCTGATCAAATCTTGCCTCCCTTCCCGTTCCTACCTACGCCGCCTTTATTTCCCCCCACTGACGTCGCAAACGGCTGAACATCCATCTCTACTGAACTTGGCAGTGGGGGTTGCAGGACCGCTGCCTCTTGCATCTGCAGGTCCTTCCATATTTCTTCTGCTATGATCAACTCCCCATAACTGCTGGTTCAGTTGAATTTTCAATAAAGAAAAAAAAATGCCTGGATTGGCATCAAATATGATTAGGGTGATTTCCAAAACTCATTAGGCCCCATAATTCTATTTCACCGCCAATTCCGTGCTTCCTGCTCCGCATTCCTAATGCCTCATTTCCTGCTCCCGAAAAGCACATGAATCACTAGGTTAAAGGAGCGGGAGCCCCCCCCCCACCCCCAGTAACTGTTGTGTTTGGAAAGGCTTCAGCCACCTGCTGTGTATCCAGCCATGCCAGGTGTCCCTAGGACCCCGGTTTCCACAGAGTCTGGCTCACTTTCAGAAAAGGCCTCTGAACAAAAGAGACTGAGTAAAACCTGAGGGCGCACAAATAGTCACCAGCGGCGACAAGAAACATTGACCCGTTTCCATTGCCCGTGGGGAACACCTGTGACAGCGTTTCTGGGGACTTGGAAGCTTGGTGGCCATGGGCAAGAGCCCCCCACTGTCCAGAAACACATTCTCTATCTGTCTCATCCTGCCAGGTAAGTGATAGTGGTAAAGTCCAAGGCTCCCCTGCACCCAGCTGATGCTGTACCTTGCCCATGACAGGCGCCATTCACGGGGCAGGAAGCGGCTTCCTGTTCAGCCTGGCAGTTACAGAAACGCTCAAGTCCCATCCCAAGCCTACTGGATCAAAGTCCCCAGGACTAGAGTGGAGAATGTTTGCTGCTGCTGAAGCATGCCCGTGCATTCCTGTTGGCTAGTGAAGATAAGAGACACTCGCCTCAAGGGAGCCCAGGGACAGGCCTGATCGCCTGCCTATGCTCTGCCTGCTCCATGCCAGGGTTCACACAAAAGACTCGGAGCGGACTCTTGCCTGGCAAAGCTCTCGGAGGCTCTAGCCAGGCAGCCAGGCTGGGGAATGGCATGCTCACCTTCTGATAAACAGCCCCGGTGACGCCAGAGAAGCAGTTGCAGTGGTTTGGAACCTGACCACCTGACCAGTGTGCAAAGACTTCTCCCCACGGCCCTCCCTGGATGACTCACCGGTCTCCGCTTCCTGTTTTGAAAGCTTCGGCTGATACCCTGCCACAAGGATAGGCTGTCATTTGGCTTTTCTTTTCGCCTTACGCAATTATTTGGCTTAAGTATCACATCTGCTCTTGTAAATTCATTCAGGCAACGATGCCACGACTTCTGTTCCCTTCACAGCAACAGCACTACGATTCTTTCCAGTAACTTACCAGGAATCCAGAAACAGAGCCGTCTGGGCAATGTCTGTCCCTGAAAAGACTTGAACTTAACCTAGTCTGAAAGCAGGGCAACCCTGTCTCCAGGCTTGCCTTTTAGAATACCTCACATTTATTTTTACCTTGATTGCACTAAGGCCACTGCACAGAAAGGTCAGGAATGATAAAAGGCCATGTAGGTCAGGCCATGTACACCATAACTCCTTGACCTGGTTCTGTTGCTCCCATCTGCAGGCCAATCTTAAGCTTCCTCTCTGAGAAGAGGGGTGAATTCAACTTCCCTAATCCTTCTACGACCTCTGTAAATAACATGCAAGCCAGAACAAACCGTGGTCCTCCAACAGAGGTGAATTAATTCCATCCTAACGCCATCTGGAATCCCAGCAGGGCACCAACTACACAGTGTCTTGCCTGTAACTCAATATGTGAACAGATAAAAAGAATTCTCTAAGTGACCTTTTCAAAAACTACTACACACCCTGCCGCCCAGATCAGCCCAACGCGGAAGGAGGACATCCTGTCTCTGGGCAGTGAGACAATCCTTGTGTCCCCACCGTCAGGAAAGCGGGAAGTGAATGCAAGGGGCACTTTCTGATGCTGTCAGCTGAGGCCTGTGACCACAGAAACACTTCATTTCAGGAGCTGTGCTGCCCAGATGCTGGTCTCTGGTCCCTTATAAATCTCAGTCTTGAAGGATGCAACCGGGCTGAAAAGCCCAGTGGGTGCTCAAGGAAACAAAGCAAGAGACCCTGCTGCATTGGGCAATGCAACTACCCAAGTTCAGCCACCCCCAGGGAAGTCTTCTCACTCACATAGTGGGACCACTAGGCAACGGTGGGAGAAAAGACAGGTACTCACCTGATAGGTCCATTTACATCCTTGGCTTTCCTCAGCCGGAAGTGTGGTAGAGGCCCTCCTTGGACACTGGAAAATTCTACTTCCGGAAGTGGGGGCTCTGAAAACGTTAAGAAGGAGAAAAGACAGGGGAATGGGAGGGCAGATCAAGTCAAAAGCGGTCCTCCAGGATGCCATGAAAGACTTTAACCCAGAAAGTGAAATATCCACGCACCGAAAGGACAGTGCTTGTATGAGCCCACCTTCGAGAAACATCTAGATTAGTCAAGTTCATAGTGGCCAAAAATGATGGTTGTGGCAAGGGGCTGAACTCACTGTAAGGTTTTGTGTGGAGTGATAAAAAGTTTGGAAACAGTAGGTCGTGCAACATGGTGAATAGCCTAAAGCTAAGAAAGCATATATTTAAAAATGACTAATACTGTCATATATATATATATATACACACACACACATATACATATATCAAAGTGATGAGCATGTTCCAACACCCACAGGGGATGGGGTCCTGGTTTTGATGTTTGTTAGTAGGCGCTATGGTCTAGAGATGGTTTAAAGGTGTTTCCCAAAACTTCAGGCATTGGAAGCTTTGTGTCCAGAGCGATGATGTAAGAAGTGGAACCTTCCAGATGCAGAACTGGTAGAAGGCCTAGTTGATCACTGAGGGTGATGCTCCTGGGAGTGACTGGTGCTGGTTTCAAGGAGTGAGTTAGTTCCCAAGAAAGTAGGTCGTCGTGAAAGGAACAAGACAGGATCCACTCTGCAAGTGCTGAGCGCTAAGGCACAAGGACACTTCCCCCACGTAAGCCACTATGAAGTCATTGAGCGTGGAGCCCTCACCTGAGGTACCCTAAAGTGTGAGCTAAAGAAACCCGTCCCTTTTTCAGCTCTGCGCATTTTCTCACAGCAACAGAAAGAAAACTAGCATGGTACAAAGGACCAGTGGGTCAGATTTCTGCATCCTTTATAATCATGGCGCTCTGTGTGCCAGCCCTCCCTGCTTCCCAGCTCTGGACAACCAGATTCCCTGGAGGTTTTTCACTGACTGGCTGACCCCAGGGCTCTACCACATCGCTGGCAGTTACATCCAGGATGTCAGTCAGCTGTTGCCAGTCTGCCTGTGGGCAGCATAAGACGAGCAAATTGGGTACTGGTCATACTAGATGCGTCCTGTCTATGTTTCACTTTGATGGAGGCTTCCTAGGAAAGCTACCAAGATGGCAACATGTGTAGACACCAACATTTTCTCCCTCTCTCTCCCGCTGTTTCTACCTTGATCTCTGCAATGGGAACATCTATCTTCTCCAAAGAATTCTGAGAAAGGCTCACCTGCCTTTCTAGCCACGTGAGTCATGGGGCGAACTATGTTTGGCTGTTGTCCCCCACTGACCCCACCTGTTTTTGTTTTTTTTTTTGTTTTGTTTTGTTTCCCTTCTGCTTTTTCTTTTCAGGGTGTCACACGGATACAAGTCAGGTGTTTCCACTCCACTTCCTCCCTCCACGCACTAGACAAACCGAATCAGGCCGGTAGGAAGCCAGGCCTACAACTGCCACACACACACCCTCAACCTCTCTGCAAGTGGAGTGCCAAGTTTAAGATGGCAGAGTTTCTGGAAGCTTTCTTTCTGTGTCGGTTCAAGTTTGTTTCACCAGCCACAAAATCGATAACCAGGGGCTGGAGAGATGGCTCAGTGGTTCAGAGCATTGCCTGCTCTTCCAAAGGTCCTGAGTTCAATTCCCAGCAACCACATGGTGGCTCACAACCATCTGTAATGAGGTCTGGTGCCCTCTTCTGGCCTGCAGGCATACACACAGACAGAATATTGTATACATAATAAATAAATAAATAAATATTTTTTAAAAAATCGATAACCAGACACGATCTCACTTTTGTTGTTGTTTGTTTGTTTGAGACAGAAGTTCTCTGTGTGATCCTATTTGTCTTGAAACTCATTCTGTAGACCAGGCTGGCCTTGAACTTGGAGACCCACCTGCCTCTGCCTCCGGAGTGCTGGGATTAGAGGCATGCGCCACTGCCCAGCCTCCATCTCACTCTCACGGGTAGTTTAAAGTTTTCCTAAACTCAGAGGTGGGACCAGTGTGAAGAATACTCTTGACATCTACACTTTTGACAGTCTAGAGATGGGAAAACCGAGAGTGTGAGTTCTCTGCCCAAGAATCCACACCCTCTAGCAGACGCAGAATGGGAACACAGTCTCTGCTATTCACCTTTCTCAATTACCCCTCTTCGCAGATCTCTTAAATGCCTGGCTCCGCCAAATCTTCCACTCAGTGAATTAATAACATCCATTTTTAAAACACCGAATGAAGAAAGACTTTACAACACGCTGACTCCAGGCAAAGACTCTGTTTTCACAACTGTCCTGCCGTACCAGAGGCCTCCCCAGGGTGGCTCACCCCGGAGAGACGAAGCAAAGTGAAGGAACAGAAATAATATCGACACAGTGGATAAGATCAAAGGCTCTTGCTTCTGTGCCTCTTGCCTCTAGCTGCCCCTCTGTATAGTGGGACTAAGAACAACTAAGCCCACCCTGATCCTTCATCAGCACACTGAAGGGTGCAGTGCCTGCCACGATCGGTGGCCCTTCGAGCAGGCCTTCTAATCCCAGCACTCGGGAGGCAGAGGCAGGCGGATCTCTGGGAGTTCGAGGCCAGCCTGGTCTACAAGAGCTAGTTCCAGGACAGGAAACAGAAAAGCTACAGAGAAACCCTGTCTCGAAAATCAAAAAAAAAAAAAAAAAAAAAAAAAAAAGAATGTCACCCTGGATGATGCTAGTTCTTCTCATTGAAAGATGATTGACTGTCAGCCAATCGGTGGGATTGATCTGTGTCACTGGTGTCACTGACTAACGACATCTACAAGATGCTTTGTTAATCTGCTGTGGTCAAGTCGGGGGTCTTCGAGGAAAAGGTGCTGACCATCTCCATATTCATCCCTCCCCAAATCTGAAACACAAATTCTATTGAACTATTACAGCAGTTTAAATGTGTTGAATGTCTTCCTTCTGTCATATTTTAAAACAATAGATAAATTTAAGAAGCCATTTTCTCAGCAGCAGCTCCTCCCCCTCCCATACAGTTCCTCTGGGGCTGTCACCCACGGTTCTCCAAACCCTATCTGGCCTAAGCCCTGGGGATTATGGATCTCCACACTGAGGACTATCAAGAAGAGTGATGAGAGAAGACAGCATCTTCTCCTTACTCTTGGACCACGGCTTAAGTGCCACATACACCAGGAATGCCCATCTTTCCAGGTCTGTGCAAAAGACCGCAGGCAAAAAGAAGGCAGAGCAGCGGAGCAAGAGCAACGGGGTACTTGACAGCCCGTTCGTGATGGATCATCGAGTGAGAGCCCTTCCCGGCCTTCCGTCCGCAATCCAACACGTTCCACGGGCTTAAGCTGTTTTGAGTTGGTTCCTGTCATTTACAACCCAAAGAGCCTTGACTAATTTTAGAATTCTTCCAGCCACCCTCATATTCTGCTGAAGGGCAGAACACACAGCTGCGTGCGCATTGGAGGGAAGTCTGGCGGCAGGCCAGAAGTAGCTCTCACGCATTTGTGGGAGAAGGGCCGTGAATGTAGGCACATCCCCAACCCTTGGCTCACCAGCTGAGCTCTGGCAGTGGGGACAGATAACAGGGGGGAACGGGGAAGCCTAGGTCAGATCCGAGGTTCAGGAAGTAAGAGGCCACCGGAAGAGCTAGAGAAGACCTGAATTAGAGATACAGTGGAAGAGTGGAAGACAGAGTGAACTTGAACTGGAAAAGCGCAAAGTCAGTGGGCTAGGTCAGGAACGCTTTCGGTCTCAAGAGGGCCAGCGTAAGAGATACCAGAGAGGTAGGACAACATGGAAGACGGAGGATGGAGGAGCCTGTGAGTCACCCTGTGGTCACTCAGCAGAGCTTGGAGAAAGTTTGGAAGTAGCTCATGTGCAGTCTCTAGTGCTGAGGCCGACGGACGTGTGGAGCTGTCAGGAAGGAAGTTAGAAATCCACCTTAAATCTAGAAGAGCTTCTGGAGTCACCAGATGCAGGGGCACAGGTCAAGTCTCTCACTGCCAAGAGCCCTAGGAAGGGGACTCACTGGGTCCTGCTTACAGGTCAGGCTTGACAAAACACCTTTGTTGAGGGCCTGCCAAGGGGACTCCGGAGAGAGATTTCGAGCTGCATTTGAGAAAGATGGCTGCAGAAGCGATGAAGGAAAAGGCAGCGGGCCAGGCCAGGGCACTAATCCCCTGCAGCTGAGACTCGGCCTCGGGCCTGAGAGCCGTCACCATGCTGGTCAGTAGGAACAGTAAAACAACGGTCCCATATCTTACAGTTCCTGTGATCCAGCCCGACCGGAGAAACTGATCACGGGTGTTGCTCAACCTTTCTCACGCTCTTCTCAGCTGCTCCTCAGTTCTCCTCCAAGATAACTAATCTTAGTTCAGCTCGTCTCCCAACGACCCTTTCAATTTCAATTCCAGCTTCCTCCCATCCTCGAGAGGAAAAGAACCAAGCTCACTGGGCTTGGAGAAGGCAGGTCTGGGGGAACAGCAGGAAGGCTGTGTGTTCTCGGCTCCCAGTATGGAATGCGGCTTGCAGTTTCGAAGATGCCACTGTCATCTGGCAGACAATCAGCATGTGGTTTCTAGGAGGCTTTGGGTATCCCTCGCTCGATCTGTTCCACACCCTACAATTCCTACGAAACTCAGCATGCTGATTCTCACCACACTTTGACATGACTTTCCGCTCTGTTACCCAGTGTTGTTGTTCCTCAGCTCCCAAGTTGCTGTCCTGGGCAAATCTGCTCTCGTTTCCATTGTCCTTCTTAGTGATCCAAACTACATCAAACTCAAAGCAAAACAAAACAAAAAACAGCCCTATCTAGGGTAGGAAATGCAGCCCTTTGCCCCGAGCACGTGGTGCGGAAGCAAGGCCAGATGCAGGCTTCCATACTGTTCAGAAGCTCCAGTAACTTCAATCCTCTGCTAGAAGCAAACCACTAAAGGACATCAGGGGTGACAGGGTAAGAAAACCTTGAAGAGACCAGAGAAAAGTAACGACAAAATTACAGATATAGAACAGGGAAGAGCATGCA